GATAACTTAAACCCTTTTGATAAAATCTAAATAATTATAGGAAAGCAAACCTAGCTCATGCATCAAGTCATATTCTACCCCATTCTTATTTGATCTGATATCATAAACACATAGTAGGCGCTCAACCAATTGCTGTTGACTTAGAATATAACTTCTAAGTGGTTTGGAAGTTATAGAAATAGAGGATGCGAGATACCAGGAAGAACACCAACTTTTCCGGGTGTGTGTGGGGTGTGTGGGGGTGCTGGCTAGAGACATGTAAGACGTAAGGAAGGGGAAAGAGGAGAGTTTGAGATTTTAAAGGGCAGCACTCCACTGATGGCTACAAAGCACAAGTCAACTTTGTCTGCATCTGGGGCAAGCTGCTGGGTGGCCCGGGTCCAGTTCCGGTCGCTCCCGGAGTCAGAGACGGTGCTGATCTGAAGACACTCAGCACAGCACCAGGAGATGACAAGGACACGGTCAGAGTCCCGCCTCACACTTTCCTTGGCCCCAGCCTCACTCCTAGGTGAGGCTGACAAAAGATGCCCCGATTTGTGGCTTTGGAGAAACAGGGTGGCAGGGTGAGGTCCGTGGAGCCCTTGGGCAGAGGAAGCTGACAAAGTCTTTACGCATTATCAGCAAGCCTGCTTCACCTTCCCTGTGCGGACTGGGTCAGGGTTTTAGTCACCCTGCTGTTTTAGGTTTTCGTTTACATGGCTATTCGGTTTGGGCATTTTAGAGGCAAGTGTGGCTACAATAACTATCGGCCTAACGTATGCATTGCTATACTTTCTACCATTCTATTAACTCAGAGATATTAGTAACCTTCGCTGGTCCCCGTCCCCCAGGCTGTGATCGCTCACTGTTTATGCTATTTTAGAGGGAAAAACCCAGGGATTTAGAAACTCTAAAGGTAAACTTAGCAAGGCCTCTGAAAGGCTATTTAGAGACGGGGCAGAAGGGAGACATTCTCTCTCCGTGAGCAGGGTTTGGCAAAGGACAGCCCGTGGGCTAAATCCAGCCTGCGGCCTGTGTTCGTAAATGTTTTCATAACACTTTTCTAAGAATGTCACTGGGACGCGGCCACACCCACTTGTCTATGGCGGCTTCTGAGTCGCGGTGACGTTGTCTGGCCCACAAAGCCGAAAATACTCACTCCACAGCCCTTTAAAGAAGTTCGCCAAGCCCTGCTTTGGCGGGTCTCTCTCTGAGCAGGATGGGGACCCCAGGAATCTGCCTCTAACCTGGGGAGCCACTTCCCCTGACCCCTAGCCTCTCCCCCAATCCTGAGATGCCCAGATGCCGGTTTCAGTGTCACTTGGTAACGACTCTCCCTCCAGGCCGGAAACACACCCTCCTCCTTCCAGGTGTGAGATGCCCAGGGAAGACGCAGGGCCGTGGGGGGTCAGGGGTGTGACCGAGTGTAGGTTCCATCCCTGGCTCCGCACTCACGCAACACTGGCTGAGCGTCTGGGCCTGCCGCCTGTGTCTTTAAGGACGGGAAAGCCTCAAGGAAGGCGATGCTAAAGGAAGTGGGCGGTTTTGCCAGGAGAGGGTGAGAGGAGGGAAGGCCCTCCAAACAGGGGAGGCAGGAGACGCACGCGGGTGTGGAGGCGGCAGCGTGTGCTGCTGCCCAGAGAGAAGGGCCCAGGGCGGCTGGGGCGGTAGGAATGGAGCTGGAGGGTCCTCCGATCAGGTGGTGAGTGGCCCCGGGAATGGTGCTGCAAAGCTGGGAAGTGTCAGGCAGAAGGGTGTCGCTAAAGGGTTTAAACAGGCTGTGATTTGATCAGATCTCTATTTTAGGAAGATGGTTCTGACCGCAGGGGCCAGGGAGACGGGGCGGAGAGGTCTCTGCAATCCCACCTGCTACTCTGCCTGCCCACCACGTCGGCTCTGAACACCCCTAGTCATCCTTCCCCACGCACCCAGGCAGCCTGACCTTCTCTCTTGGGGGAACTCACCTGCCGGTCTCATAAAGAACATTACAATACTATGCCGCTGTAAAAAAGAAGAAACTTTTACCACTTGCAACAGCATGGATGGAACTGGAGAGCATTACGCTAAGCGAAAAAAGCCAGTCGGAGAAAGATAAACATCACATGATCTCACTCATATCTGGGATATAATGAGCAACATAATTTGATGACCAAGAATAGATCGATCTAGAGACAAATGGTAGGGGAGGAGGGGCTAGAGAGCAACCAAAGGGCTTGTATGCATGCATATCAGCATAACCAATGGACATAGACACTTGGAGCGGTGGGGGCTTGCCCGGGGTGGTCAATTGGGGAAACAGGAGACATATGTAAAACTTTAGCCAATAAAAAAATAAAATAAAATAAACAAAGAAAAAAAATGGTACCGTTCCCTCCCCAAAGGCTCATTTCTTGACTGCCTCCTAGTCCCAGGCTTCTCCGTCCAGTTGCAGTGAAGGACCAAGTGTTTGTTGTTTTGCTTTGTTTCCAAATTCCAATTTCTGGGGACCAATCCTTTTGTAAAGTACAAACTCAGGTACCTGGACATCACGGAAACATAAAATTGCTATTTGAGTTTCCAAATGCTTTCTCTTATTTGGGGTATTTATCTTGTCAGGGGCTGATTTAAAAAAACAAACCGGTTTGTGGACTTCCAGTTTCTGGTCTGACAGGTAAGGAGCTGGGAAGTCAGTCCCCACTGCCCCACCCTAACAGCTAGTGGCAAGGGGAGCAAACTGAAAAATCAACAAACCGGTTTAGATGGGTGAGAGGAGGCCACAGGGCAAACCGCTGTCTCCCCAGTTGGAGAGACAGACAGGTGCGGACCGAGACTCCCAAGTGAGCTGCACGGGGACCAGTGCCCGGGTAGGAGAGCATACACTGTAATTGAGGAATTGCTGGAGGCTCCGTGTGGACAGCTCTGAGAGTAAAATACTCCAGGGCAGTGGTCGGCAAACTCATTAGTCAACAGAGCCAAATATCAACAGTACAACGATTGAAATTTCTTTTGAGAGCCACATTTTTTCCAACTTAAACTATATAGGTAGGTACATTGTTATTAACTTAATTAGGGTGCTCCTAAGGCTTAGGAAGAGCCACACTCAAGGGGCCAAAGAGCCGCATGTGGCTCCCGAGCCGCAGTTTGCCGACCACGGCTCCAGGGGATGCAGTCCTAGGGGGTCCCCACACTTTTGTGAGTTTCCCCCCCAGGAGTTCAGCCAGCTTCTCACAGTGAAGAGCAGAGAAAAATCCCCCCCGAGCTCCAGGCAGGTGGAGAGGAAAAGGAATCCTTTAAAAAGGCCCAGCGCATTCTGTCCTTCTCAGCAGGATACACTCTGGGGAGAAGCTATTTTAACAGCACCTCGCCTGCGGGGGTTGTATCGAACCCCAGTGGCCTGGGGGAAGAGAAACGGCCACTCCTAGCTGGCTCCAGCCTTCCACACAGAGGAGGGGCACAGGCAACTCCAGCCCCCGTCAGCCACCCTGTCCCACCGAAGCGGGGAGTGGGGGTGCCAGGGAAGCGCTTCTGAAGTTCAGGCAAGAGGCCCAGGCTCACCAGAAGTCTGAGACCCAATCACAAGGCTAAGGCACGCCTCCCACCCACCATGCCCTGTCACTACATAACTAAAGGCCTACTTACAACAGTTCTTTTCACATGGGACATCACGTCTGGCTACCAAGAAAAAGCTTGAAGACATACCAAGAGGCGAAAAACAGAGTCTGAAGAGACAGGGGCAAGGTTCAGAACCAGATTCAGATACGACCGGGATGCTGGAATTCTCAGGTCAGGAATTTAAAACAACTATGATTACATGCTGAGAAGTCTAACGGGTAAAGTAGACAGCATGCAAGAACAGGTGGGCAATGTTAGCAGAGAGATAGAAATTCTAAGAAAAAATAAAGATGCTAGAGATCACGAACACTGTGACAGAAATTAAGGATGCCTTGGATGGCCTTATTAGTAAACTAGACACTGGTTGAGGAAAGAATCTCTGAGCTTGAAGATATCTCAGTAGAAACCTCTGATGATGAAAGGATAATAAAAAAAAAAAGACTGGGGAAAAAAAACAGAACAGAATATCTAAGAACTGTGGGATAAGTACAAAAACTGTACATATGCATAATGAGAATACCAGAAGTAGAGGAAAGGAACAGAATATTTGAAGCAATAATGACAGAGAATTTCCTCAAATTAATGTCAGATACAAAACCACAGATCCAGGAAACTGAAAACAACAAGAAGGGTAAATGCCAAAAAAAAAAAGCACAAAAACTAATGTAGGCATATCATATTTAAATTGCAGAAAAGCAGAGATAAAGATTTTTTAAAATCCTGAAAGAAACCAGAGGAATCAAGATAAAAATTACATCTGACTTCTTAGAATCATGCAAGCAGAATGGAGTGAAATACTTGAGTTGAAAGAGAAAAACTTACCAATCTAGAATTCTGTACCCTAAAATTTTATCCTTCACAGGGGTTGCCTAAGACCATCGGAAAGCACATATATAATTACATATTGTTTTTGTGATGAATCACTATGCTTTCATTATGTTCAATTTGTAACAATGAAATTGGGGGTCACCACAACATGAGGAACTGTGTTAAAGGGTCGCGGCATTAGGAAGGTCGAGAACCACTGTTCTAAAAGGTAGAAGTGGCGTAGCCTGTGAGAAGCTCTGAGAGTAACACTGACCCAATTTGGTAACTAGGGCAAGAGTGGTGCCACGTACCAAGACGAAATGTTGTGGAGGGCAAAAGGAAGAACGAGGCGCAGAGCAGATAAAGGAGGGGTGATCAGTAGGTATGCCCAAATGGTAATGAGCAAATGGAACAGTCTATGGGTTACAATTCAGTTCTGAGATTAACACACTTGAATTTGCTACTTGCACCTATGTTCAGTGCCAACACGTTTATATGACATGGAGAGATGACAGCAGGCCTTTCTTTCTGCCATACGTAAAATATGAGAGTAAAATATGCCTAAGAATAGGGTTGTGCTACCAGTATCTGCAAACGGAATTTCCAGAATTGGGGACACGCACCTTCAAGTTGGCAGCAGGTGCTTTGGAGTCAAAAGATCCTCATTATCACTCACTAGCAAGTCATTTCATCTGCCGGGGACTCAGCCTCTTCGTGTGGAAAAGCAAGTCTTCCCCAGTTCACAAGCCCACCGGCAGGCGGACGCGGCCTGCTGTTTTTATGCATTGAGTCTAAAAGGTATTTTGGATAGGAAGGCTCCTGGAAAAAAAAATAAAATAGACGACCAATGTGTCTTGCCACAGACACTGTAGTATATTCATCCACAGAGTTTAAAGATGACAAGTGGGTTAAGAAAATTTAGGAGTAAGTTGTTCTAAGGGCATTTTGTGGAGAAAATATATATAAACAATTATAGACAAAATTATAAAGTGCCTGGAATCTTAAAAGAATATACAGAGCGGACAGCAATCATGGCAGAGTCAGGAAGTCTACTGGTAACCAACCTATGATTTGCAATATTTGCAAAAATTTTTTTAAAACTGTCTAAAATTGCGCTGTTTTCTTTTTTCTTTCTTTCTTGTTTTTTTTTTTTAACTGCTACATAAACAGTACTACAAGCTGATTCCACAATGCTAGGTCATTATATTTACTCAGAACTTCTAAGTTGCCAACCTAATGTAGCTCTTTCACAAAACACAATTCACTGGGCCTCCACATTGGCAATGCGATCAAGTTGGAGATGCGGGAATCAATATTATGAGACAGAAAATCCTGAGTTATCTTGATTATACTGTCTTTATTACCAGCGTGGTCGCTCTATGATTCATATACATTTAAAGAAACTATAATAGATCATGTCTCTTTCTTTTTCCAAGTTCCCAAGCAAAAGGGGCCTCCTTCATATTATAGCTTCCTATTTTCGCCACTTAAAATTAGATGCGTATTTAGAAAAGGCTCTTAGCTCTCTTACTACCTTGAACAGTTAAAACAAATGCACAGAAATACTTGTACTTTCTTAGGATGCTCAAAATAGTTTTTAGTAAGGCCACCAGGTCTAGCTCTGATCGCACAAATGTTTGCTTTGTGCAACTTTTTATCTCTATGTCATCTTGCAGTTTTAACTTTGGAGTTCTTCAAAAGGACTTTAAGTGCTAATGTTATTTTACGCCTAAAATAAACTAAAATTTTATAAAGTACTATAGTCTTACAGATTATGCATTTAAGATCCTAGAGAAGTATAAAATATATTTGTCGTTAAATATAAAAAGAGGAAAATCATATTTTGTTTCACATACACAAACAGATCGAGCCTCATAACCTAAAGGATACGCCCAAGCCCCACTTTTAGGAAAAAGAGCACCCATTTGTTTTTTCACTCAAACCCACATCTAAAATTCAAATATTACTCTTCCCAGCCCCCCTCCGCGCCCCCAAAAAAGCATGCCAAAACAATCAGCCTCATTTCTGGTGAGTTCTCTAACACGTCGGAAGCTGTTAAATATACCCTGGGCCCGTGACCTATCCCTTCGATGCCTCAGGAAGGCCTAGCCAGACCAGATACACCCCACTTCCAACAAGCACGCCCCTCCCTCTGGCTCAGGTCCCCCTTCCCACCTGCAGTCCTCCCCATCCTCCCTCTCACATATGCGCTCTTCAAAAGGCCGGCCGGCCTGCGGCTTTCTGAGAGGCAGTGCCCGCTCCCCCGCTCTCTCTCCTGAATTCCGAAGGTTCTCCCTTTCTAGAAAGCACAACCCTGTGGGTCTCTATCTCCGTTTCTTTTTCCTCTCCCCTCCCCACTGCCCAAGCTAAGACCTCTGAGGACCGTGCAAAGAGGACAGTGGGGGGACTGCTCCCTTACGTTCAGGTTCCCAGCGCCTGGAAGTGCCCGATAACGGGGTGCTTCGATAGCTGCGTCAGGG